AGGAATGGCTCTCCTGGCCGCAAGTACAACTCCATCATCATGAGAATGGCCAGCGCGTGGGGTCTCAGCCCCTGGCAGATCATCCAGCACGCCAGGAGCGCCACCACGTCGTAGGGCAGGGGCAAGCGGCCCCCTGCTGGGGCAGCGCGGCGCCAGCCTCGCAGACACTGCCGACAGACGGGCATCCGCTTGCCCCCCAGCCTGCCGAGGCGCGGCTCGGCCCACTGCACCGACGCCAGGAGCTTCTCGCCCGCGCTCAGCGAGCCGCCCTCCATGAACATGATCTCCATCAGGCCCGCGGTGGCGATGTCCCACTCCTCCTCGGTGTTCGGGTGGTCCCCGCGGGAGTCGCAGAACCTCTGCAGGGCGGCCAGGTAGAGGGAGTACTGGGCCTGCGTCTTCGCCGACACCGAGGCCCTCCGAAGCAGGCTCATCTGGGCCTGCGGGGCCCGCGCCGCAGCCAGCCTGGCAGCGCGCTCCACCCGCGCCCGCGCCGCGGCCGCCCGCAGGCCCCCAGTCTCCAGGGGGGCCAAGGCCGGGCGGGAGGCCGACCCCGAACTGGGCGGCGGCGGCTGGCGGCCCGCGGGGGTCCTCGATCTGTCGGACCTGCCGCGCGCCAGCATCGCGGCCCTCGCCGGCGGCGGTCGCGAGTTCGCGCCGCAGGCCGGCAAGCGGGTCGCTCGGCGCCGGTCGGCCGCGCGAGGGTCCGTCCGCAGGGATGAGCTCCGACGCGATCCAGCGCGACCGCAGGAGGCTGCCGGTCCCCAGCAGCAGGGCGCCCAGCCGGCGGGTCACCGAGAGCATGCCATCGCAAGAGGACCGTCCCTTCGTGGCGGCCAGGGAGGCGGAGATCGAGTTCCCAATCACGAGCAGCCTCGAGCCCAAGTTGGCGACGGACCTCAGGAGGTGGCGCACCCCGTACAAAAGCGCCTCCGCTTCCAGGGCCGGCATAGACGTCGAGGCCCGTTTCCACCTCTGCCTCCCGCACAGCCTCCAGGGGGCCCTCAAGAGGTCCAAGGGGACGTCCTCGAACGACTTCGTGCGCCGGCGGTCGAACTCGCTTTCGGGACGGTGGTGTCGAGACTGGGGCCGCACGAGCTCCATCAGGATCCGCCTGTCGGCCTCCCCCTCACCCCCGTGCAGCTGCGCAGCGGCCGCGGCGAAAGCGCGCTCACGGGGGGGCCGCCCTTCCCGGGCCGCCTCCCGAGCCCCAGCACGCTCCGAGTGACGGCAGGCCTCCTTGACCAGGGCCACCGGCGGTCGCCCCCGAACGGCCCCAAGGCCCCACGGCGACGCGTCCACCACGACGACGTCTGGACAGGTGCCCGCAGAGGTGTTGACCCAGATGAGCGGGGCGATACGGTCCCAGACGTCGAGCTCCTTTCTGGCAGAGGCCCAGAGGGCCCGAGGCCCCCGGGCTGGGCATCTCCGCGCGGCCTCACAGAACCTGTGGCAGTATTTGAACACGCTGAGCGACTCTCGCCTACACAGGCCGATGAAGCACAGATGGCCCAGGAGGCGCTCCAAGTCCCCTCCAGAGACCGAGGCCCGTGCCAAAAGACCCCGAATAGCGAGACGAGCCTTCCAGACACGCTCGGGGGTCGGGCGGAAGGTGCGCCGAAGGCAATCGATCTCCCACCCCAGCACGATGGCCCGATCGCAAGAGACAGACTCTTTATGCAGCGGCAGCCCCCGAGACTCGAGGGCCCGGGACACTCCTGCCAAGCGCTCGCGAACAACCGCCTCGCTCGTCGAAATCACCACATAGTTGTCTACGTACTGTGCGTGAGGGGAGGAGGCGAGGGGAGGCGGAGGGGAGCCGTCCGCGAGTCGGGCTGCAGCAGGGGATCCTTCCTCCTCGGCAGCCCGCTCGTGGATCGCCTGGCACCACCAGAGGGCCCAGGACCAGCCCATGGGCAAGGCTCGCATCCGAGGGGTGACCCAGGTCCCCGGGGACGCACGGACTCCCTGGACTTGAGAGATGCCCGCCCACGAGGCCCGAATCCTTCGCAGCCCGAAATACTGGCGGAGCCCCTCTGGGAGCTCCATGTGATAGAAAGCGTCTTTTATATCGACCTGGCCAATAAACACGGGCTGACCGAGGGAGTCGTCGCCATGCACCTGGGAGAGAGTGTCGCCAGAGACTAGGCTGACAGGGGCGGGCGGCTCGAAATGCTGATTTGACCGCCGACAGTCGACGACCAGCCGCTGCTTGCCGCCCCCCTTTTTTACAAAGAAGCAATCCACCACCTCGGTAGGTCGCTCGAGCGTCAGCTCGGCTACGCCAGCCTCGACCAATCGCTGAATGAATTCGCCGTACAAAGAGGGAGAGTGGAGGCGAGGGTCGCCGTAGGGCCGAAGGGGCCCCGAGTCCTTCAACCTCATTCGTGCCACGTCGATGGGCAAAACTTGCGACTCAGCAAAGCGCGCAACAGTACTTTCCCCGCCGGATCCCCAAAGCCGAGCGAGCGGAGTCGGAACCGACCCAGCCGCCGGGAGGGACACGCGGGAGGCTTCGTAGCCCACAGGGCCTCCCCCTGCGTCGTAGGGGAGGCCGAGGCGCAGCGCCTGGAGGGCTGCCGCCCGCGAAAGATCATCTGGGGGGGGGCCCAGGAAAGAGACAGAAGACTCAACGTGATCGAGCATGCGCTGCTGCCCGAGGCTCAGATCAGCAGGTACAGGTACCCCTTCACAGCGGCCGTATATCGTGTTGAGACCTTCCAAGCACCGAAGAACGTCGGCGTGACGACGCTGCCGACGGCCGACTCTCTGTCGGCAAACTCGCGAGAGCCCAGGTGCTGGTGGCTCCGGCGAGTTGAGCAGCTCCGTGGGGAAAGGTAGCAGATCCCGCCCCACGTTCCTGTCAAAATTCCCCGGCGGCGCAACGGCGTGCCGAGCATCCCCAGTCATGTCGGGATCCCCCCCACCAGACCTGAGGGACGTCTGGGGGGGGCGGTCGGGCATCACCCCTGGTCCTTCCCCTGGCCCTGCCTCCGCTTGCCCAGCGACTCCCGAGCCTCGCGCGCCTTCAGGAGGCTCTTGGCCAGCGAGGCGTCGCGCTCCAGCTCCTGCTTGGCGCTCTCGAGCAGCGCGGGCGACACCATGAGCCTCGACTCGGCTCGGGCCGTCGCCCCGAAGGCGGCCTGCTCGTCGGCGGTGAGCCTCCCCGCGGAGGAGCCCGCTGTCCTCTCGCGCAACTTGTCGCTGTAGCAGTACTCGATCGTCTGGAGCCGGCGGAACATCATCTCCACCGACAGGATGTTGGACGCGTCCACCTGATCGTGCTGGAGCAACGCCTTCAGGTAGCTGATCACACTGGCGTACTCCTCCATGCCCCACTGGGAGTCCTGGAGGCCGCACAGCTTCTTGAAGTGCTCGAAGTGGGACTCGAGAGAGCGGCCCTCGCCCGCGAGGTGCTCGAGGCACCACATGGTCGTCCTCGGCGCGATGAAGTCGGGGAGGTGCTCCTGGCGGCAGCTCTCTACGAGGTTCTCGAGCGTCCGGAAGGGCCTGCCAGCGCGATCGAGGCGGACCGGCAGCAGGCGGCAGTCGGGCGCCACCGCCCGGTCGGCGAAGTCCGACTCGTCACCGATGGCCACCCACTCGACGAAGAGAGACGACCCGTCTGCGAGCAGGACGACTCCGCGGGCGGGAGTGCCCGCCCCAGCGAAGCCCGCTGGAGGGGTGATCACATCGCCGTAGTGGTACCCCCTCCACTCCTGGGCGACGCGCCAGTTCCCCCAGCGCCTCCCGCCAGCACCAGGGGTCGGGCCCCCCCGACTACGGCCGCTGCGAGCGCTGCTCCCGCGGGCGCCGGCGCACCGCCCGCCTCCCCGCCGCCCGCGGCCGGCGCAGCCCCCGCGGCCGCACCTCCTCGGCGCATCACCCCGCCCGGCAGGGGCGCGGGTGCCGGGGCGACGGGCGCCGCGGCGGGCGGCGGGCCCCCCGCTGGCACGACGACCCAACGCCCGGCGGCCTGGGGGCGAGGGCGGGCGCCCACCGCACCGCGCTGATGTCGGCCGACGTCCCGTCCACTACCTCGCACTGCACCTGGTGGTCCGGCGAGACCAGGATCGCGTCACTCGGACAGGACACCACCCGACCCAAGTTCCAGCGCTGGTGCCACAGGGGCGCCCCCGGCACCGCATACAGGAGGTACGCCACCTGGTCCACTCCTTCCAGCGCGGGCACGGCGTCGGCGGCAGCAGCAGCCATCGCTCCACCTCCCGACGTCGCCGAGCGCGATGCCGATCACGAGCGACGCCACTGTCGTCCCCCAGGCCGCCGCCACCGTCGGGGCTGCGGGCGCCGTGGAGGCGCGCCCCCGCTCTTGCTGCGGGCACTGGGGAGCCGGCGCCCCTGGGCAGGCCGGGCAGGGCGGGACCGCGGGACAGGCGCAGTGGCAGTCCGGGCACTCCAACGCCGGGCACGGCGGCGGCGGCGGTGCCCGACTCAACCAGGAGGCCACGCCATGCGACAGCTGGGTGAGGGCTCCGACCGCCCACGGGGGCACCATGCCCCGTGGGGAAAAAGCTTGAGCGAAACGTCAACGGAGGATCGCAGACGGGCGGCCAGCGACGCTTCCCAAGGAGCAACCCTGTTCGGAGAACGACTTAGGAGGAGGAGGAGGAGGAGGAGGAGGAGGAGGAGGAGGAGATCCTGGTGGGTGTGCGGGCCGTGCAAGGAAATCCCTGGCCAGCATCGGTAACCAACGTGCTCCTGAACCAGCAGCCAGAGACCTTTCCCGGGAGGGTGCTGTCTTGCTCTCGGTTGGGGCCGTGGGCGTGTCGGGGGCGCTTGCGTTCGCCGCACCGGGTCCAGACGCCGTTTTAGGTAGCCACGTGCGAACCCTACCCCCGCCTCCAATGATTCCGAAAGGGGGGGGCCTCACTCCGCTCACCCCCCTTCTTCAGAAATCGTGGGGGGGGGGGGTAGGGTTCACATGTGGCCACCGACCCTCCTTTTCCCTCGCGTTGGGGGGGCCGTGCCGACTGGTCCTGCGCGCGGTGCGGCCTTGGACGAGGGGCTGTTGGGGCAGAGGTTCTCCGAGTCGCGGGCGTGCCCCTGCTCGGCAGTTCGGCGAGGGATGGGGAGGGCGAGCAGCGGCAGCAACCCTGGCGGCGGCAGCGGCGGTCGGCGGCGGTAAGACAGCAGCAGCCCCATGTTCATGACCGCGCGCTCTCCACAACTCCTGCGCCGTTCACTTGATTCTCAATCTTGCTTGCACTCGCCCTCTTGAAACGTGCCTTCCGTGCCCTCCCTGAGTCCCGACGATACTGTTGCACCTTGCCGCCTCACGCCATGTCGGCCGTCAAAAACAGCCAGAATCTGCAAGAGTGGTTTACATATCGATTGCTTTCTCTACGGCACTGGCCTCAGCTTGGGAGATCGACGCCGGTCGTTCCATACGATCCCCGCCATACAGACCGGACAAAATAACCAGTCATCATCGACTGCGATATACTCCTCGATTTAGCGTGCTGCGGCAGAACAGCAGTCGCCGCGGGTCCCCCCGTCGAAATGGCGGGCGGAGTGTATCGACGAGCGTCGCCCTGTCCTTCGCATGGTTGGCCAGATGGCCCTATGTAAACTACGAGCGTAATCCCGTGGCGGCATTTCCCATACCAGCTCCAGGCCCCCCCCACCCGACGGTGCACGTCAAAGCATACTAGCGCAGAGCGCATGACCTAAAATGGGAAAGGGGAAGAGGAGGAAAATGGGAAAGGGGAAGAGGAGGATGAGGGAGGAAGGAAGGAGGAAGGAAGGACGAAGGAGGGAAGGAAGAGGAGGAAGAGGGGGACAAGGACGAACGAGGGATGGCTGTGTTCAGGATGCACTCGGAAGCCACCGGCGTGAGCGTGAGGAGGGAAGACGGAGGGGCTCCGCGGCAAGAGTCTTCATGCCCAGGAACTTGCAAGGCGCGAAGGTTTGACGGATCGGAGCCCCTAAAGGCAGCCCGTGCAAAAGGCAAGCGCGCGATGCCCGAGTAGATCGCGAGGGCTCCAGGAGAGAGCGAGACTCCGGAGTAATTCTAAACGCTTCGCGTATCCCCACCAGCCCGTCCAGAAATGAGCTCCAGGGGAGTGGAGGCGATGAGGGAAGCGGGGGAGCATACAGAAGAGCAAAGGGCGGGTAAGCCGCCATATGCCCCAAGAGGGGGGGGATGTAGTCGTCGTCGTCGTCGTCGTCGTCGTCGTCGTCGTCGTCGGAGTAGGAGGAGGAGGAGGAAGAGGAGGAGCAGGAGGAGGAGGGGGAGGAGAGGAGGAGGAGGGTGAGGAGGAGGGTGAGGACGAGGAGGGACGAGGAGGAGGAGGAGGAGGAGGAGGAGGGAGGGGAGGAGGGGAGGAGGAGGAGGAGGACGAGGAGGAGGAGGAGGAGGAGAGGAGGAGGAGGAGGAGGACAATGGCGAGCTTGGGGGCCCCTTGGGCCGTCTTTGGGGCCTCTTGGCGGTCCCGGGGGCCTCTCGCGTATCTCGGGGAGCCTCTTGGGGCCTCTTGGGGATCTCCTGGGAGTCCCTTGGAGGCCTCTTGTGCGCCCCTTGGGGCGTCTTGGGGCTCTCTTGGGGCGCTCTTGGGAGCCTTCGGGCCGTTTTTGGGGCCATTTTGGACGAGATCTATCAAAAAAGGGGGGGGGTCAAGTAGCGCTGCCCCTCTAGAGTGCCTCGAATCGCCTCTTGGGCCCCCCAAGAGGCCAAAATCCTTCCAAAACCTGGGGGAATCAATGTTTTGTGCTTTCTCGCCTTTTCGCTCTGGGAGCCGTCTTGGGCCATCTTGGACGCCCCAACGACCCGCGGAACCCCCCGTCCAGGTCCAGGGGAGGGGGGAAAGGGGAGGGGTCAAGACCCCATCCCCGCCCGCAAGCCGTCTCGCTCACTCCCACCCGCCCTCCCAACATATATGTAGCACCCGAGTCTGGCCCGAGCCTCAGCATATTCAGCAGTCGTCTTTGGATGGGCAGCTACTGGGGGCCAATCCGCCGCCCCCTCCGCCGCCGCCGCCGCCGCCGCCGCCGCCGCTCCGCCGTCGCCCCGTCGGCCGCAGCGCCGCCGCTGCGCCGCCGCCGCCCCGCCCGCCGCCGGCCGCCGCCGCCTGCCGCCGCCGCCGCCGGCCGCCGCCGCCGCCCGCGCCACCCCGCCCTGGCCGCCGCCCCCCGCTGCCAACCGCGCCGCCGCAGCGCGCCGCCACCGCCACCGCCGCCGCCGCGCAGCCGCCCAGCCCTTCGCCGCCGCCCCCGCCGCCGCCCCGCCCGCCGCCGCAGCGCCGCCACCGCCGCCGCGCCGCCGCAGCCAGCCGCCGCCGCCGCCGCGCCCAGTGTACTCTGTATATTGTTTTTGACAGGATGGTGGGGGGGGGGGCCGCATCGGGTTGGCTGCGCATATCCGAATTTGGAGGCAGAGTGTGTTTTGCATTGTTTTTTAAAAGGGATGGTGGGGGGGGGTGGCAAGGACCGTGGTTGGACCCCAGTCGCCTGGGGGAGGGGGTGTTTATTAATAGGGAACAGTGATACACCCCTCCCCGAAGGGGACGAAGGGGGTTGGAAGAGGAAACTCTCTCGACCACCCACGCCCAGAGGGCCGGTGGGACTCGTGAGTGAATATCAAGTCACCTCCTTCTCCTCCTCCTCCTCCTCCTGTTTTCTTCCTCCTCTCTCTCTCTCTCCTCCTCCCTCCTCCTCCTCCTCCTCTCCCCTCCTCCTCCTCTCCTCCTCCTCCTACTCCTACGCCTCCTCCTCCTCCTCCTCCTCCTCCTCCTCCTGTTTCCCCTCTCCTCCTCCTCCTCCTCCTCCTCTTTCTCTCCTCTTCTCCCCTTCTCTCCTCCTATCCTCCTCCTCCTCCTCCTCCTCCTCCTCCTCCTCCTCCTCCTCTCCTCCTCCCTCCCCTCCCCCTCCTCCTCCTCCTCCTCCTCCTCCTCCTCCTCTTCTCCTCCTCCCCCCCCCTCCTCCTCCTCCTCCTCTCCTCCTCCTCCTCGCTTCGTCCTCCTGTTCCTCCGGCTCCTCCTCCCTCTTTCTCCTCTTTTGCCTCCCCCCTCCCCCCCTTCCTCAACATACTCCTCTTTCTCCTCCTTCTCCTCCTCCTCCTCCTCTTCCTCCTCCTCCTCCTCCTTCTCCTCTTCTTTCTCCTCCCTCTCACCATTACCATACATCATCACCATCACCATCACCATCACCATCACTATCACCGTCATTACCATCATCATCCTCATACCCATCATAACCATCATCACCATCATCATCCTCATCCTCCTCATCCTGAGCATCATCATCATCATCATCAGCACCATCATCATCACCAGCATCCTCCTCCTCCTCCTCCTCATCATCATCATCATCAGTATCGTCATCACCACAACCATCATCACCACCACCATCGTCATCATCATCGTCGTCCCCATCATATTCATCATGATCATCCCCGTCCTGATCCGCATCCTCATCCTCATCACGCTCCTCGGTCGCATCATCAGCATACATCACCATCACCATCACCATCACCATCATTATCAGAATCAGCATCATCATCATGGGCAGCAACAGTACCATCGTCATCAACATCGTCGTCATCAACATCATCATCAGTATCATCATCAGCATCATCAACGGCATCATAGTCACCATTGCCATTGTCATCATCAACATCATCATCATAAGCAGTATCATCCGTAACATCAACATCATCACCATCGCCAGCATCATCCTCATCGTCATCGTTAGTATCCTCATCCAACTTAGATAATTCTCATCAACAACATCATCGTTACCATCATCATGATCGTCGTCATTAATACCATCATCATCATCCTCATCGCCATCAACATCGTCATCATCATCGGCAACAACATCAACTTCATCATCATCCTCATCCGCGTCATCATCATCAGCGGCATCATCATCTCATTATTAGCACCATGTTCAACATCAGCAGTAACATCTTCATCATCATCTGAGTGGTGGCTGAGGCGGGATATGAATACCACCAGGGTCCGCCCTTGGGAAAACGTCAACCCTCCAGTCGAGTCCCGCTTTGCCAGTGGCTGCCCCCTGTCTTCGCTACGAACCTCGGTGCGCTCGTATCCAGACCCGACCTCCTCCCCAACGGTCTCGACGTCCTCCCCCTCATCCTCGTCCTCCCCCTCGTCATCGACTGCCCCCTCCGAATGATTCTTTGCGCTGCCTCTTTGGGGATTGGACGCACCCCCCCTCCCACACAGGTAAGGGCTGGCGTCCTAGTCCTAACTGCGACTCCCCTTCCTCGCGCCCGGGCGGCGAGGCCAGCAGGCGCGGCGAGCGGGAGAAGCGCGCGCGCTATTCGGGCGCCCGACTCGCGCCATTCGTCCTCGAGGCGGGGGGGGGCTCGGCGCCAAGGCCTGCCTCTGGCCTCTGGCTGCTCGGGCAGGCGCGACGCCTGCCTGGGGATCAGCAGCCGCGGGAGCTGGCACGGGCATACAAGGTCCTGAGCTGCGGCCTGCCAGCTGCTACGGCGCGCCAGCTCCACAAGACGGCCGGCCTGCGCTAGGCGGCACGCCAGGCGCCGGCGACGCCGGCCAGACGACGCCGCCCAGCGGACCGCAGAGCACGGGGCGCCGCCCGGCCACGCGCCCTGCCGCCGCGACGCCCGCAGCACGCGGCCCGCCCGCGCTGAAGCTGGAGACCCCTGAAGCAGCACTGGCGGGGCTGCCAGCTGGCACGACGGGCGGCGAAGGCCGGGCTGCTGCCCGGCGGCGCAGCCCGCTGCGCGACGGGACGCCGCGGCGCGGGCGCGGGCACCCTTGCCTGGGCTGGCCGCGGGCAGGGGTAGGACGGCGACGGCGGCGACGCGGAGCCCGAGCCGCAGAGGGGGCGCAGGTCTTTGCGGTCGCCATAGAGCTCCTGGGCATGCTGTCCAGAGGCCCTGGCTGGCAAACCCCCTCCCCCTCCCCCCCTTGGGAGTTGCTGCTGTCTTAAACAGTCAGCCACCCCCGGGGGTGCCGCCCCTTTTGGCTGGGCGGTGGGAGTGTCTGGCGGCTCCCGACTAATCTGCGTCGGGAAGACCCTCCTCCTCCTCCTCCTCCTCCTCTTCCTCCTCCTCCTCCTCGGTCCTCCTCCTCCTGTTCCTGTTCCTGTTCCTGTTCCTGTTCCTGTTCCTGTTCCTGTTCCTCCTCCTCTTCCTCCTCCTCCAGCCCCTGGAGCGGCGCAGAGTCCGCCTGCAGCAGCTGCTGCCGCCCGCGCCGGCACGGCAGCACCGCGGGCCGCGTGCGGCCGCCGTCGGAGAACAGCGCAGCAGGCCGCCTGCGGTGGCTGGCAGACCAGCTGCGCACCCAGGCGATCCCAGGCGCTCCCAGGCGCTCCACGGCGCTCCCAAGCGCTCCCAGGCGCTACCAGGCGCTCCCCGGCGCTCCCAGGCGCTCCCCGCGCTGCCTCCTAGGCGCTGCCAGGCGCTCACAGGCGCTCCCAAGCGCTCCCAGGCGCTCCCAGCTGCGCACCAAACAGCTATCCAATAATGCGGGATGACGATTAATAAACAAATGGGAGAGAACGATTGAAAAATAGTCTTCTGCTGTTTCTGCATGATTTTCTGACTGGAGGAGAACGATAAAAAATAGTTTTCCAGCCCGCGGCCGGCTTTTTCTAATCGTCATCCCGGGCGCCGCCGCGTGAACACGACCCCCGGTCATTTATTAATCGCCATCCTCCATTAAGCTGTGGTGCGACACCCGCGACATGAGGGCTGACCCTATGGCGAAGGGGAGCGTCGGCGGGGAGCTCATCCTCGACATCGTGGATGGGGAAGCTCGCCTACATGCACCCCGCGGTGAGAGCGAGGAGCGTCGCAAGAAAACGGTGCCGAGATCCAGCTACAGAAACCTCAACAAGGATCACGACGAAGGGTGATCTACTCGGCGTCGTATGTTCGAACTGTGTTCGCGAATGCGCCGACCAATACGTATTTCGCGAACCGTGTTCGCGAATACGACGCAGTGCGTCAGGGAGACCAGTGCGAAGAGACTCGCATGTCACGAGCCATGTTCGCGGATGCGACGCAATGGTCCATGTCAGTGATAGGGCAGTCTCCATGAACCATGTTCGTGGGGCAGCAGGCCGTTGCGCGTTGAGCACTCGAATCGTTTATTCTGTGCTCCACCGACGTTCTGCTGCCCGCCTTTCTGTTTGGTCGTGACCGCAACTTTTCATGAGGAGTTCCAGACGCCTCCTCCTCCTCCTCCTCCTCCTCCTCGCACACCTCCTCCTCCCCCGCCACCCGGCCCCGCCTTGCTCACGGGGCTGGCCTCCGCGGTGGCCAGCCCGACGGGGCTGCCGAGGGGGACCCGCTGCTGCGGGCTCGCCTGGCGCGCGGCCGGCCCCGGAGCGGGGGGGGCAGGGGGGCGGAGGGCCGCCGGCGCTGGTGGGCGAGGTGCGGAGAGCAGGCAGGCCTGAGCTGGATCGAATCGCGAGATCGGGCCGGGCCGGACACACATCGGACCGGCAACGGATCGCCCCGAATCGAATGCAAGTCGGGGTGCCGCGCCCACGGCCGATGCCGGGCCCACCTCCCACATCGCATGTCCAGGGAAAGGAGGAGGAGGAGGAGGAGGGGGAGGAGGAGGAGGAGGAGGAGGAGGAGGAGGAGGAGGAGGGGGGGGGAGGGGGAGGAGGAGGAGGAGGAGGAGGAGGAGGGGGAGGAGGAGGAGGAGGAGGAGGAGGAGGAGGAGGAGGAGGAGGAGGAGGAGGAGGAGGAGGAGGAGGAGGAGGAGGCAGGAGGATTCGCCCCGACTCGAATCGGAACTGCGGCCTCAGCCAGCGAATCGAGCCGCCTCGAAGCGGATCGTGGGCGGCCCTGGCAGGGCCACATCCTCTGCCGGCGGCAGAAGCTGCGCAGTCACGGCCTGTGGGTTCTTCGGTGCCGCAGCGCGCCGGATCGCGGGACCTGCGGATCCAAAATGATTTAAGAGCCAGCCCGATGCAGTCAGCCCGTATCAGAAGCACGCGCGGTAAAGATGCAAGTGCCTCGGGAGGCCATGTCGACACTTTGCGAGCGGGGCGCGGCAAGCGAAAGAGGCCACGCATTGGCCGAAGGGGAAGGCAAGGGCAACCCTGGAGACACACTCGTCCTGACTGTGCGGGCTGACTGTAAGAAGGACTGCTGACACCGAGGGGGGCAGACCTCGCAGCCCCGCGCATCGACCCCGCCCCCGCCCCGCTCAGGAGGAGTTGCGAGCGTCGAACGTGTCCTCCTCCTCCTCCCCCTCCTCCTCCTCCCCCTTCTCCTTCTCCTCCTCCTCCTGCCCTCCGCGCGGCAGGGGCGCTGCTCTCCCTGCGCCCGGACCTGGGCATCTCGCCCCGAGGGAGGAGGAGGAGGAGGAGGAGGAGGAGGAGGAGGAGGAGGAGGAGGAGGAGACGGGGGAGGAGGAGGAGGAGGAGGAGGAGGAGGAGGAGGAGGAGGAGGAGGAGGAGGAGGAGGAGAAGGAGGAGGAGGAGGAGGAGGAGGAGGAGGAGGAGGAGGAGGGGGGGGGGGGGCGAGGGACAGAGGAGGAAGGGGCGCATGGAGAGGAGAAGGGAGAGGATAAGGATAGGGGAGGGGCGCAGGGAGAGGATGGGCATGAGCATGAGCATGATAATGACCACCTGGCAGGACCAACGAGTGCCAACACGACGTGGCGGATTGCACATGGAGGTGCGACTATACACGAACACGGCTCTGCTTCTCTGCTACACTTACAACTGTGGGCTACAAGCCACGAGCAATCCTGCCATGATATTCCTGCGACCCGCCGGCGACCCACCCGCGAACCACCCCGCGCTCGCCCCTTCACTCTTGTCCGCAACTGCGAGGTGCTACTAGAGGAACAGCGGCATAAACATAAAATGTTGACGGTCCGCGCGGGTTTCTTGGATCTGAGCTGGACCGCCTCCTTGGCGCGCGGAGCGCGCCAGGGGCGGCGCTGGAGGCGCTGCCAGGGGGCCCCAGCGCAGATCCAGAAATCCCCGCAGAGCTCCGAAAATTTATGTCTGTGTCGTTCTTGTTATACTTCGAGCTGAATTTTCCGCTCGAGTAGGTGTGGCATGATGGGTGTAGCCCTTGCCAACCTCACCGAGGAGAACAACTACCGTGTTGGGCGGAAGGGGTTGGAGGGATAGAGGGTCAGAGCAAGCAACTCGGATGCAAAGAACCATGCCTTCGGCCGCCTACTGGTCAGGATACCACCTCGTGTCTCCCAACCCCATACTCCCAACCCGACGATTGTATTCCAGATTCACGCAGCACGGAGGACGCCAGGCATCCGCAATCACTTCTCATTGCACCGACCTTGCACACGTGCTGCAGCGGATTGTTGCGTGGATTTCTGCCAATGCAAAACCCCGAAACGGCGGGCGAACAACGACGTGTATTTCATGTAGATGTTTTGTGTCTCCATTCCTGGCTTACAACAAATCCGCACGAAATCCACTTCAAATCCGGACAGAAATTCTCCAGGACAGTCAGGGCCCATCCAATTGTTTTCCGAACGAAATCCGCTCTGCGATGCTGGCGCCATGAGATGACTGACTTCCTGACCCACGCAGCACGGAGGACGCCAGGCATCTGCCATCACTTCGGGGCACAAGCCGCGGCCGCTCGCGCCCTGCTGGAGTTAGGTCGGGCATGCCCTCCTACAGGGGGATTGGTTGGACGAAAAATCAGAAAAACAGCCAACACATGCGCAAACATGGCCACACGTGCTAAGAACAAGCTCGTCCCCACACTCTTTGTTGACCAGTTCTCCTCCTCTGGAGGAACACGCTCGACTTAACGCCAGACGCCCGCCGTCACTTCGGAGCACGAGCCGCGGCCGCTCGCGCCCTGCTTCTGAGGGGCAGCGATAGGGGGAGATAAAGATAGGGGGGGGAAATATCGACCCGGAATCGGCGATGCATCGCCGATAGGTCGGCGATAGGCCCCTGATAGTGAATCCGCACCTTCCTATGAAACATTGGGGCTATCGGGCCCCCATCGGCGATCAAGGGGCGATTGGAGGTCGATGCGTTCCCCCCTACAGTGCGGGCGCGGCCGCAAGAAACCCTCGCAAGAAACCCAACCCTGAGAACCCGCGCGCGAGGTGCACCGAAGGGGAAACCTGGAGCACCCTGATCGCAGCAACTCCTTCCACGGCTGCGGGAAGTCACCGCGCAGCGCGAGGAGCGAAGAAACCCAGGATACCCTGACGAAAAGCATATGGCTTCTCGATGCGCGCCCCAACTGTATGCCTATCCCCCCCTACCGTTGCCCCCTAGCTGGAGGCGCCGCGTGGGCCGGGCCTTGAGCAAGCTGGGTGCTGACGAGGCCGAGCTTTTCTCGCGTTGCCTCTTCCCCTCCCCCGGGAACTGTTTTGGCCGACCTGAGGCTCCTGAGGAGCACTGGGTCAGGTTTGTGGGCGCCCATCCTGGGTGGCTCTGGGGGGGCCCATCTTCGTGGACGGATCGGCCTTCAGCACTAAGCACGGTTCTTGTAGACGCGCGGGCTGGGCGGCCGTGCAGGCGGACCAAGCCGGCAATTTTGTTGCTTGCATGTATGGGGTGGTTCCGAGGGCTTGGGGGCCCGAGCAGTGGGCGCGGGACGGGGAGGATTACGCGTTTCACATGTTGGCTCGGTTTTCGGAGCCTCCGTCCGAAGGTAATTCAGGCGTGCCGCTTGAAGTGTTGAGTGATTGTGCTGGCTCTGTGGGTTGCGCCATTAATTCGTCCAAAGCTTTGGACCCCAGGAATGAGCGGCGCCACCTTTGGAAGCTCTGGTGGGACAAGGTTGGCTCTTCTGCCACGGTCGCGAAGGTCAAAGCCCATCGGAGCGTCCAGGATGCCACGTCTTTCGAAGACTTGTGGAAGCTGCGGGGCAATCGCCTCGCGGATGAGTGGGCCAAGAAAGGGGCTCAGCTTTGGGATGTGGCCCCGGAGCAGGAACTTTTTGTGGAGGCCTGCGAGCGCAGGGCCGAGGACGCGGCCGTGTGGATGGGGAGGGTCCATGAGTGGCTCCACCAGTCTGGCCACCAGGAT